CAACGGCACGAAGGGAGGTCGGTACGGAGGTGCTCGAAGGCAAGCTCTACGCGGTGGGCGGCCAGAGTGATGCCGACGGCGCAGCTTCCAACATGGTGGAGCGGTGCTGGCAAGCTGTACGCCGTGGGCGGGTAGGACAACGATGGTTTCGTACACCACAGCTGGGTGGAGCGGTACGACCCGGCGCTGAATGTGTGGGAGGCGGTGGCGTCGATGGTTGCGGCGCAGATTAGTCTCGGTGTGGCAGTTCTGGACGGCAAGCTGTCCGCTGTGGGTGGCTTCAGCCGTGAGAATGGCGGCCACCTCAACTGGGCACTCGGGGGGGTCGCAGCTGCCTCTGGAAGGCACCGAGATGTACCTTTTTCGCGCAATGGTCAAAATCAAGGTTTTGTAACGCGAGCTGTGCCACAGTGAAATGGAACTAGCCCATAGAGCCGGCCATGCGGGATGGTTCGATGGAGCTCGGCGAGCTCCATCGAACCATCCAACTCTGGTCACCGGGTCTGAACGCGCTCAGCCTCAGGAGGTACCAAACCGCGCGAATTTTGCACGCCTCGCTGCACCGCTGGCTTGACTGAATCAGGCAGCAGCAGGCTGCTGCTGCTGCCACAGCAGCAGTCTGCTGCGGCCCCAATACGCAGGTTAATGACCAGCATACATTACTGCCGGGGGCATTTCGCACACGCGCGCGCCGTGCGACCCGCGTCGCTCCGCGAGGGCATGAGCCTTCCGCGATTCGATCCCGCAGCCAAAAGCTGCTTCGACGTGGCCTGCCAGGCCGCGGCGGCGGGCAAGAAGACTCGGAATGGGAAGACCCACGACTAGTATGGCGACGCTGCTGTCAACGTACCGCAGCAGGGCCACAACACCAGACACAAGTACACGCTTCGACGCCTCATCCTCGCCCTACGCGCCGCGTGGGGCACCGCTGTGCGAATGGAGCCGAAAGCCCACCTCGGTCAGAGTTACAACAAACAACCCGACGTGGACGCGGACAACATTGGCAAGGACGGCACGCACTATTGCGGAGACGTCAAGGTCGTCTGTCCCCTCAGCAGCAGCGGGGAGCACGGTCGGAAGGGCGCTTTTGTCGCTTTCGGCAACACTGAATCATTCTACCGGAACATGGTCATGGGGCATGGGCCCTACTGCGAGAAGGGGGAGGGGGGGAGGGGGGGGAGGGAGAGGGGGGGGGAGAGGAGGAGGGGGGGGGAGAGGAGGAGGGGGGGGGGAGAGGAGGAGGGGGGGGGGGGGGGAGGGGGGGGAGGGGTACCGGGGGGGCGGCATGGTTCGGAGATCAAGCTCTGTGACAGGTCGCACGTCGCTCCTTTGACGCCGACGTGACTCACCCGTGCAGATCACATCAGGACACGGTCTCGACGCGCTCGGTACGACACCTGCGACCCGTCTTGGGCCAGGTGGCACGACGCTCATCGCGCCTACCAGCGCTGGGCTGCCGTGCAGGTTGCCACGACGTGGTCGAGCACGCTTCTATACGCTCGCCGAGCCTTCCTTTCCATCCCATTAGGCAGCCTGGGTACGGTGACGGTCAGAGGCAAAGCCTGCGAGGGGTGGTGGAACCACATGTCACGGCCACCGCCGGCTCGACCCCACGATAGCCTCCGGAGGCTGACTTTGAGGCACCATCATCGGACGATGTCGACGAGTTGGGTCGCTCTCGCGGTGGCCAGGTAGCCCCCCATACTAGTAGCACCGGCCATGGCCGCAGGAAGCTCGGGGGAGCGGGGAGGGCGCTGGGAGCAACACGGAGATCCGTTGGACGCGTTTTCAAGATTAGCGTGTCAGACTCAGAGTGAATTGGAACTAGCCAGAACAGAAAGCGACCCCTCCCCGCGTGACACAATCGAGGGAAGAAACTCATGTGAGACAGAGAGTCACGCGGGACAGGAGTAAAGTGCCAAGGGGGCACCACAGAGAGCAGTTACTATCTCCGCATACCAACGCCCCCCCCAGGTCTCGGTATGACCTGAGAAGATGTGGAGATGGGACGAGCATGCAAAGTCTGCCGCGCCTGGGAAGCTTACGCGCAACGCGGACGTGGGGCAATTCCCCCCGATCAGACTGGACTCCCCCGAGGGGAAGCGAGAGGTTCTACTCGTGCGAGATGTTGATGATCGAGTCCGCGCAGCGAGAAGAAGGGGGACGGCTTGAGGTCGCCCTTGACGGCCTCACTAGAGCCGCTTTTTGTGCGGCCCGAGCTCCGTCTTGGACGCCTTCTTGTAGCAGCGCGCGCCGCCGACGGGCAGCGTCGAGAGGATGGGGCCCTTGAAGAGCTTGCAGCGGGACTTCTTGCCTTCGACGGCGTACTCGAACCCTGCGCGGGCCAGCTGGCAATCTCGTGTCATCTCGTGTCATCTCGTGTCATCTCGAACCCTGCGC